GGCATTTTTCAAGTCGTTAAGTCTGCAAGGAGCAGACATGACGTATACGCAATTTTCCACATTGTTTACCAGCCAGCATCGATCGCATAACCAAGACATGAGCACTGGAATTGTGCTTAATTTACTTAAGGGTTTACATATTTTTTTTTTTACTGCAATGCCAAGAGCAGCGTTGTTCTGCCAACTGAACGAGTGCCAAATTGAAGGGACACCCACATAGCAGCTCATAAATCTTGAGTACCAGAAACTAACTAATACTGAGCTGAGGACAAGACATAAATCCAAATTTGGCAGCGTTGAAATCAAAGTTTCCAAGCACGCACAGTTAAGAGAGAAGAGCGTCATATCCCAGTTATAGTTTTTGGCCAAATAAGCCCACTCAATATGTTCAGATATCTGGGTCAGAGCATGACTTATGGGCTGCTCCTTAAGTCGTAAGCCGCTTTAAGAGTTCAGCAAACACCGAAATGTTGGGAATAAAATGAAAATCTTTAGTCTACGAAGGTCCCTTTTGCCGATTCGTAACCTTGACTAAGGTTCCAGCCGTACTTCTAGGCTGGCCACACGCACACATAAATAATTAAAATGACCTCATAATGTTTCGATTTTCTCGCTTTTTTTTCCCAAGCTGCTTTTTCATTGTTTTCCCTGAATTTTCTTCTTTTTTTTTTAGGCTGCTCGGTGGACTTTTTGGCGCTTTTTCGACTTTTTGCCGCAGTCATTAATGTAATGGTCTGCATTATTTGCGAACATTCAGAGTGTTAGTGTCCATCTCCGTCCCTCTATGTCTTCCTTTCGTACTCTGTTCTTGGTCCTTAGGCCCAGACACTAACTATATGTATATATGTATGTATATGTGCGAATGACACGCAACGCACTGGGACACCCTTTAAAATGAATTAGGAGAGTCGGAAGATCATGTGTTATATACAGTCAAGCCTCGGTAGGATGGGATTTTAAAAGAATGATATTTATCTGTAATCTGTGTTCCTAAAGCAATATTTTATCTGAAAGGTGCTTCTTTATTATTTCTTTATGATCACTGTCACTTTTGTTCAAATTATATCCTTTGAGCAGTCTGGCAACGCCGAAGCAAAACAATCGATAGCTTTAGGCTCTTGATGTTATGTTTATGTTAAGCTGTAAGCCCTTGATGTTAATTCACTATTAACCTGTAAGCCAGAATTTTAAATCTCTTTCTTTTCAATTTTAATATTCGTGGGAAGCGGGCTTTTCTACATCATTGTAATTCTTAGAAACCAATTTGAAGATCCGCAACATTTATTATTAGTAGTAGTAGTATTAAGACTCCCTAAGTTATTATCAATATATCTTATATCTTGACGATTTACATGTTAATTCAGATTCAACACCACAGTTCGAGTTACTGAAGTTAGACTGTGTATTTTATTATCGTTCCTTTCCTCCTGCTCTACTATATATGTACTTGTAGGCTCCTTTTAGCATTTTATTGCTGGTCACTTTTATTTTCGTCCTGCTGCCGCTCAGCCTTCGATAGGAAGCTCTCCTTTTTGCGACTTGTTTTTCCTTTTTTTTTTTTTTTGAGCTACCGCTTTCCTCAGCAATTTTTGCCCTGGGCAGTCATTCATGACGTGGCCACCATTGCTAGGGCCTAATCCTCCACTGCCGTTTTGCCTGCCAAATCGGCTGTGCCATCAAATTAAACGACAACTAAATTGGCGCACATTTTGCGCTATTTGGCAGCCTTTTGTCCGCTTTTCAGGGTTTACATAAGCGTACAGCAACAACAAAAAAAGGGCAGCAAATAAAATCGCTAACAATGACAACAGCTGACATTGATTGGGCCAACGAAGGCTGCACCCCCCGGCCAGTTCTAATAACTGTAATAATAATAAGTAGCTGATAATTTGACACTAAGCCACGAGGTTGCATGCGTAATGCGGCAGAACATAACCGGAATTGGTTTTGGCCAACAATCAATTGGTTAAAAAGGTGAAAATTTGGATAAGAACTAGATGCAACTTAAGGGGGGATGATAAACTTATCACAGATTTACTAAATTTAATGCCATTTTAATGATTTAAGTTTATTAATTTATTTATATTTTGTACACAAAGTTAAAGGCTGATTAATTGGCCACAAATCAAACATATTATCAGATTAATTTATTGACCCAACACGATTTACATTTATATTATTTTTATGGAGTTAAAACTTAAATGAAAACAACTCAATAAAACTGATTTAAATGTCCTAGAAAAACCTTTAGACTTGCCAGACTTTCAGTTTACTTTTCAAAACAATTTTCTTTTCCGGCAAATCCCAAGCCTCACTAATTCCAAAATTGCCAATCAATGCATTAGCATTTCTGTGGCCCACGCTTTTGATTTTCTATAGGGATTCAGCAAGTAATTGCATCAAAATCAAATCAAAGCGACCTTAATTTCATTCTGCTACTCTGCGGCAATTCATTGGAGTCCTGCCATGCCATGCCAGGCCAAAGCAAAAAAAGGTTAAAGCAACCACTTTCAGGGTGCGAAGCCCTTGGAATCTCTCTTTTGGCTCTCTCTCACACCAATTCATCTGACACTTTCGCTCCTTTCACCTCGCAAAATGTCGAGTGCAATTTCCCGACTGACTTAATTAGTTGCTGTCACATTTTCTGGCAGCCTGTTCGGCAAAGACAGACGAAAGCCCCGAAAAGCCCGCAGCCCACGAACACTTGCAGCTAGTAGCTCCCTTGGCGCACATGGAAAACTTTCAGAATAGATTAAATTTGTTCTGGCTGCGGTGGTAGTGGTGTGTGCCGGTGGGGGAATCACCGCAGCTTCTCTCCCCAACCCCCTCCCAAAAGAAAGCGCCGAATTGCAAGAAATGGCTAAATTGAGTGCACACAAAGGGTGAGCTAAAAGGAGCGGCAACGGAAGTGGGAGCTGGGAAGATAGTTGTTGCACAAGTGCAGTTTTCCTGCCGCTACTGGTGCTCCTGCTGATGCTGCTTGCTGCGGCTGTCCAAACATAAAAAGGATAACACATGCAGCCGCCACAGCAGAGCCAATAACTTGCCAGATAGTCCTGCCAACAGGATGAGCCTTTTTTCCTGAGCTCCGCCGCTTTACGGCTAGTGATCAGTGTTGCCAAAAAGTGATTGTGAAAAGAAACTAAGTTAAAGGAAATTTTTGTAAACAAATTTGTTAAGTTTTTTAATATAACATTACAGAAAATAAGTTTAGGAAAAGGAAAAGGTTATTTTTTAACAATTTTTAGACTAAAGTTGACTAGAACTTTGATTTCCTCGAATCATGTTTATTAACAAATCCAATTCTGTTGCCATATTTTAACCATTTCAACTATAAAACCATCATCTTTGACCATAAATCAGCTGAGCTGTCAGCTTTGGTCCTGATGTTCGTCCAGTTATGACAACAAAAGGACGGGCCAACGCGAGAGAAGAAAGAATACAGCGAGGGGCGAGCAGAATAGAGGCTCCGTTGTGGAAAACCAAACGGGGGGAAAAGGAAAAACTAGTTGGCTGTGCCTTCGGGCCATTCAATTGTCCGCCTGATCCCAGTAAAAAGAGAAGCCAGTTAGCCCCAGAATCTCCTTCTATTTGCCTGCTGGCCTTTTCTTTCTCTTTGCTGTTGATTTTCCATTTGGCCAGGACACCGCCTCCGCTTTTCAACCCCCCCCGGGCTCAATGTTTAATGTTCGGCTTTCAGTTACCTTTACCTGTATGTAGGTCAGAATTTTACAATCATCTACAAATGCCGAGAATATCTTCTATGGAATATGCTTTTCCACAAATATTAAGCATAAGTCAGCAAGAGCACGAAACATTTTTGTCATACAGAGAAAACAGTGTGGTAAATGGTAAGCTAGGAATTGAGTTCATTTTTTAATAATTCCAATGGACAGAAAACATATTTTTCTTTCTATTTGCTTTGTGTTCTTTTCAGCCAATTTTCCAACTGTTTTCTGTATAATAAACCCAATTGAACTTGCGTGGTTCAAAAACAAAAACGAAAACGAGGTGAATTCCTGTCATTTCAGGCCACAATTTAAACTTTGGCAAAAAATGCAATTGACCGGGAATTCCAACGAAAAGATACCCATGAAACAGTATATTTAGCGGAGTGAGGTAAATCCCTATTGACAGCTGGAAAAGGACAAAAATAAACAGAAACAGATGGCCGAATCGGTAGAGAATATAGGACACGTCAAATTTACAATCATTGAATGCAATTTATCATCAACCTATAATGCAATGGATGATTCTATTCAACGCGAAATGAAAGCCAAACATTGCAGCGTCATTTTACCTGCGTGTTTGATTATATGACCCCTCAGCTCCCTCGATGCAGTTTAGCCAGAAAATTCAATTTGGCGCAACGTGGTTTTTCCCAAAAATGAAGAGAAATCGGATCGAAAGCTGTTTTTCGTTTCGCTGAGAACATCGATTGACTGCCGAAGGCAAAATAAGTGATGCAAAAATGTAAATATCGCATTTAAGCTGTGCCACTCGCCAGCTGCAGCGGCATGTAAATTGCTTAACAATTTTCCGAAATAAGTTAAACATGAAGGAAAGTGCTAGGTAATAGTTTTTGCCAACATAATTTTAAAAGTTTTAACTGAGAGTAACCATGTTGGAGATAATAATAAAGGAAGTGGTTTCCTTATCTTTATCGGATATCATTTTTAAAGTCACTTTTAAATTTTAACTTTTATGCAATTATTGCCTATAATAATTCTATTTTCTGTCTAAGGAAATGTTTAACACAAAAACACATATTAATACCCTTAATTTACTAACATGATAACCATCGAATAGAGAGTCAAAAATTAAAGCATTAAAATAAGCTAGATGGCAACGTGGCGTATGTGTAACATTTACTGCACTCGCGGCTGACGTAAATTGCCATAATTACAGGCCGGTTCACGAAATGAAATAATATGCCCATCGCCTCGCCTCCTCCTGACCACAAAGGACACACTCCTTGCGGCCGAATGGCTGTGACTTACCTAATTAGCGACAGGATTTCCAGCGGCAGTTGTAGTTGTTTTTGTAGTTGTTTTTGGGCCAGGCTAGGTAGCTAGCGCCATCAAGCGGGCGACAGACGGACTAGCCAACAACGTTCATTTGGCCCTTTGGGCAATTGTTGTTAGCTGTTGTTAGCTGTTGTGGTTGTAGTTGTTGTTGTTGGCCAACAATCTGGCAACGCCTTTCAGCCCCGCTTACAATGTTGCGTTGTTTGTATTTTTTTTTTTTTACCGTTTTTGTTACGTTTTTTGCTGCGGTTGTTGTTGTCGTTGTTGTAGTTGTAGTTACTTTGCTTGTTGCAACTTATGTGCAATTGCCGCTGGCTGTGGGCAAGTGGGAGTGAGCAAGAAAGGGGCGTTTGAGTGAGCAAGAAGGGTCGGGTGAGTGAGCGAGAGGTGGCACGAGGGGTAGGTGGGCTGTAGGGCGAGGTCTGAACCGAAAGTTGCAAGGACACGCATCGCATCGCCTGACGAACGACACACACAGGATTTCGCACTAACACTCGCGAACAACCGACACCGTACGACACTTTGAAATGTATATTTCTTTTTTTTTACTGTTTTTTGTTGTTTTTCTTTGGATTTTGCACTGGTGTTGGGGTGTTAGGTCCTTTGAAACAACCACCACCACCCCTTGGAAAACACAAAAACAACAACAACAACTGCTTTTGGCTTCTCACCCCATCCAAAGTTTTATTTCATTTCTTATTTTATTTTGGCCTTATTTTTGGGGCCAACTTTTGACGCTTTATGTTTGGCCATGTGATTTGGTTTATTTCCCTACCTTTTATTTTCATGTTCCTTGCTCTTTGTTTTGTTACCACATTCGCACTCGTCTTTTACGATTGTTTTGTTTACTTTGAAGTCTTAACTGCCCTGTGATGTATGCTAAAGTTTTGTGATTTCTTTCTTTCTTCTTCTTCTTTTTTTTTCGTATGCCACTCAGTTGCTCATTTGGCGCCACTTTTTGGCCAGGAAAACTTTTTGTATTTTCCCTTTTTTGAGTAAGTGATGGCCGAGCTGCTTATGTAAGTGGCAGCAATTTGCCAAGCAGTTAGCTGGCGGAAAATGGGGGGCATGCTGCAAAAAACACTTGCCTTGAGGTGGAAACTTATGGAAAGTGATGTAAAGCCAGGGTCCCAGATAAAAGTCTTTTTGGGAGCGACGGGCAATGTCTTGGTTGAAATTTATAATGGCATCTGGTAGAGTTGAAGAGGTCGAGAAGAGCTCAAGTTTTATTTTTTTATTTCTTTAAATAAGTTAAAGTCGGCAAAAGAAAGAGCAAGTTCTGGGATCCATGCCTGGCAAGATTTTAAGTTGTGATCTAAAAGTTTTTAAAAGATGGCTTATTGGTGTGGCATTGGCAGAAAACCGCAAGTGGGAAATTTACATTTTAAAAGAAATCGGCAAAAGGAAAATGAATTTGAATTCATATTGTTAAAGAAAATATTAAAAGTAGTAAACGGAAACATTATTTGCATTGAAAGTAAGACAAAACTAGAGAAAAATAGTTAACCAAACTCAAATTATTTTAAAATATTTTCTTAAATTTAAATAAACTTGCGTAAACGCAGTTAATTTGTTTTTCTATTCCCAAAACTTCTTTGGGTAAATAATTGCCCAGAATTCCCCCTTTTCCAAAATAATATTTTATTATTCATTTTGTTTCAACTCAACCACCTCGATGTATAGCCATACACTCGCCATTTCCCAGCTATTCATTAATAAATAATTTCTTGCACTTCCTATACTGGCATATATATATATTAACATGGCACATTTGTGGGTGAATGTGTGTGAGTAGGCACTGCTATATGGCTGTAAAAATCGTGTTTGTCTTCTGCCTCAATGAACTATTTTTATTTATTTATGCACTAGATTATTGCCAGGCGTATTCGCGTGAAAATGGTTCGCTTAAAGGCAATGAAATTAAACAAAAATAACCCGTTTGGCTGTGAATTCAATTGGCATTGCATCTCTAAGTAATTACGACTATTTTTATGCTTCTACGCATTTATGAGGCAATTTTTGGAAGTTTATTAAAGGAAATAAGATAGCCATAGGAGAAGGTCAAAAGAGATAATAAATCATAGCCTTAGCCTTATGCATTTTCTCTTACAGAAGACAATGTAATAAAGGGGGATAGAATAGTTCACACGCTCCGAGCAAAGATGTTAAAAATAAACCAAAGCAATGCAAAGAGAAATGCAAAAATGCGAAGCATCAGACCAAAGCAAAACCGACCAAAAATACCATGTCTACATGTGATGGTTCGGCGTTCAACAAGCCAAAAAACAAGCGATACTAAATCTAATTTAATTGTGTGTTTTTATTTTTTTTAATGTTATTCTCGTGTGTGAAAACAAATTCAACCGCTGAGTTGTTTTTCATCTCATTACTGCGAGGGTGGCGGTCAGAGAAATGCCTTTTGTTTCAATGTCTGCCTGTCCTTAACACGGCATTGGTATGCCGGGTATTTCGTTGAATACGACATTTTTGTCTACCAGCCAAACACGCCCCGAAATATGCAACATGTCTTCCTGTCCCCGCCATCTTATAACGCCCCCATGTCGTCCACTATATCCCATATCCCACTTTGCCACTTTTCTTTGGTGGAGGCTCCACCCAGGAGCACGCAATGGTCGAGGACGTGGATTTAGCACTGTTAGAAATAGGGGTGTTGATCAAAATAAGGGAATTTCTTGAGCTAAGTTCAGGGATTGTAATTCAAAAAACCTTTTCCCCATTTCTTTGAATTTCTAAACTACAAAGTAGGATCGTTTGTGATATACTTTGTAGATTTTGTAGAGCTTTGGGATTCCTTTAAATTCTTAAGCTATTACTATGACCACGAAGATTCATGCACAAAGTTCTTTTATAAATATCAATGTCTAAACTTGGTTCCTTTAAATTTAAAATCATGATATACTTTTAATAACTTTCTTAAAAGGTTGGTTGAAGTAAAACTATTCCTCTATGGCTATTATCCTTGTTATAGCCAAATTACTAGAATTTCCTTCGTGTGTACTTCGCTTACAGGCTGACTCATAAGGCATTTTGGCTAATGATTGACTGACGTACTGATCAACGGACTGACTGGCTGGCGAACATACTGAATGACTGACTGACTGACTAACTGACTGACTGGCTAACTGAAGGAATGACTAAACAGCGTGTGTGACTTTTCCCAGTTGTGTGTGGGCTTTCGGCGACTTTGCGTGTAGTTCGTAATTTAAGTAATGTGGGTCGCCGCCTGAAACCTGAAAGCTGAGCTCTGCGTATCCTTGTTGTTGTTGCTAACGCGATTTACCTTTCGAGCGAAACACGCGCCACGGTTCCGTTACGTTGCCTGTTAGCTGTTAGCTATAGCTTTACCGTTACCACTGCTCTTAGCGTTAGCGTATATACTCACATATATATTTGATATATATATAGAGAGACCTGCGGTTATAGCAGCCTAATTGTCATTGAAGGCAACCCACCCAAGACATAAATTCAATTTCTTTCTGTTCGATGTGACAAGTCTTGTATGTAGGATGTCCCACCACCCACTTGCACCGCCACCCCCTATTCTGTGTTGTTGTTTTTGTTATTATTTTTTGATAGCCACCTTTTCGTGTGTTGCTTTCTCGCGATGTCGTCGTTGCCGCCGCCAAGAAAACTAGGGGTTTCCCCCTTGGTGCCCCTTTTTTTTTCTTGCGCGTTTTCTTGACTTGTTCTTTTGGCTCGACTGTCGCCGTCTCTGTCTCAGACTATATTTCCATCCCTGTCTCTATGCACTGGCTGCACCTTGACACTAATATTGAGCAAAGTAAAAAAAAAAAAAACTAAAGGAAAGCAAGTGCAACTAAAAATAGTCGAAGAGAGACCGCTAAAAGCGAATTGATTGGCGACTCTGTGTGTGTAAGTCTGTTTGGCTTTTGGGCTCTTTATGCGGACACTTGGCGATTTTATTGTCAAGTTATAATTGGTAATTGATGCCGATACCCAAACTGATTGTGTTATGATATAGCTCACTCAGCCGATTGCGAGGGATTGAAGCCGTTGTAAATGATTTTTGATTGATTTACACCCCAGAGGGGGAGTGGAGCGAAAACTTATGGTTTTACATAAACTTTGGCGAGAACTTTGGGTGGTTTTCCCTCAACTTGAGTTAGTTTTTGGACAAGATTTGCATGTTTGACAAAGTTCTGTTATTTTTAAACATTTTTTGAAATGCAGGAAATTTCTCTTTGTTATTAAATTTAGAATAAAATATTTTTAAGATTTTCTTAAATGACATTTAAAATGAGCTAAAAACATTCGTAGGACTAAGAAAAGTTTTTCTTTATGAAAGAAACTATTCTGGCTATGCTGGCTTTTTACCTAACTTAAGATTTTTGTAATGTATCAAATTTCAGATAATTTTTTTATTATTTTTAGAATATTTTATAACCCTAACTTTGAGCCAACGTTACGGATACTTTATATTTTTGTAAAATCTCAAAAATGTCCTTGGTTTGTTTTTAAGTCCAACGATGTTTTAAAAAATATATTCTTAAATTTGTTTTGTGATTTGAATTACATATATTTTTTAAAAATTAGTTAGTAAATCTTTTTATCTCACTTCTTCAGCCTTGTAATTTGTAAGAAATAAATTCTTCAGTAACCCTAAAAACATATTATTGCTAAACACGACAAACTGCACTAAATTTTTCAAATATTTTAATTTCTGCATAAAATCATAATAATCCTTGAGTGCGTATACTTAATATCCACCGCTAACACAATCCTCGTTTCGAAATCCCATTTTTTTGCATTCTAATTCGCTTGCCTTTAATTTTTAATAACCACTTTTTTGTTTTAAGCCACTCAATCTTGCAACGCTTATTGTCGCTTCTCACGCTTGATATTGTTGTTGTTGTTGTTGTTGTTGGTGGTGGTGAAGGTGCAGTTGCCACTGGCCATTGTTGTTGTTGCAAGTGGTAGTGGTGTTGGTTATTATCCCGCACCCAACAACAAGAACACCAAAAAAAGAACCCAACACCAGAGCTTTACATAACTCACTCGCTCACTCACTCACTGCAAAAAATGGAAACACTACCAAGGGGCGGCCAACGTTCAAAATTCAAAACACAAATGCACTTTTCATATCGCACATTGCAATTTTCACGCGTTTTTCAATCATTTCTTAGGGCACACGACTTCTTAGAACCACCAATCAGCGGGCATAGGCACTTTTGCATTTTTAATCCGATTTTCTTACGAATATAGCAGTATAGTAGATATATATATATATATATAGAGACAGGGCGGTGAAGTCGATATTACTACGCTGGCTTATTGTTGTTTGGCCCGTACACTATAGTGACGAATTTTCTCCGCTTCCGCAGTGCTGTTGAATTGCAAACCCGACCCGAACTGAGACCTCAACTGAGCAAGTTTTCCTTTTCATGCAGTTTGGCACGCATTTTCGATTTCGGAAAAGCAGGATGACGAAGCGCGGCGAACACCGAAAGGTCTCTGGTGCGCCGCTTGCTTTTCGATGTCGCCTCCTATTTCCCGTTCGGAGCCAAAAAGCTTTCATCTCTTATTCGGCTAACTCTCTCTCTCTATCTCTCTGGGAAGCTCTGCAGATTGGCCAGCTTTCCGAGTGCTCCAAAAGCTCCACAGCTGATTGCCGCCAGTGCATGCGGCATTTGTCCCCTATGGCCCCACTGCCTTCTGGTGCTGCCACCCAATCATCCTTCGGCCGTAAAAACAGCTGATGGCCGAGGGTCAGTCTCCGTGTCGATAGAGACATGGCGGCAAGTGACGTAATCCTTTGCGGATGCACGGGGCACAGTGGGATGGATTGGGATATGAGTAAGCAAAAATAATAGTCAGGAAAATAATAAAAACAAAACTAGCTAAAGAATATAATGCAAAGTTAAAATAATTTGGAATCTTTCATAATTTATAAAACCCAATAAAACTTCTCTCTTATTATTTGAAATATTAATTTTATTTTTAAATTGCAATTACAATTTGTTGTTGTTGTTTGCTTGTCTGTTCACTGTTTGTTTTATGCTAAGTGGTATTTTATTTTTATTTATATATATTTCACACATTTTCTTGCAAACAATATCAATAATTCTTTTAACCTAATAACAGATGCCATTTTGTTTGGTTTTTCCTTTTGTGTTTTTTTTTTTTGTTTTTGGTTTCTTATTTGGTTTTGTTGTTTCCCTTAATCTTGTGTTGGTTTTTCATTTTTTTTTGTTTAATATTTATCCCTTTTATGGTTCGATCTCGGCCTGGCTTGCGATTCACCCACATCAGACGCGATATTCCTCAAGCTTAAAATTAAATTACAAAAAATACAATCATTCAACTTATATCCGAAGATACAAAAACAAAGCGCACAATGCAGTATTTAACTTAGCCGTAATCACTTGCAGAACTAATTACAATATTACAATAATAATACATATGCTGGAACGCAGGGGGGTGGGCGTTGAAACAAAACAACAACGTAAAAAGCGTAGTACAATACACAACATTACCCTCTAAATGTAGTTTAATAAGTATGCGGGAATCGTTTATTTTAATAATGAGTAATAAACATTCCTCCATTGCACTGCATTTGCATTTGAAGTAAAGCGCTTGCTTTTGGTGTATAATGCGTGTATATATATATATATATGTATATATATTGGGGTGTATATATATACTATAGATAGAAATATGTATACGTTGCATATAAAATTATCTCGGCGCAAAGATTCGCTGCTCATGCACAGTGTCAAGCAGTTAAAATGAGTTAGTTGGGCTTGGTGGTGATTATGATTTTATTTTAAATCTTTTGAGAAGAGCGCGAAAATTTCGGTTGATCATCTAGTATATAGGCTTCAGTTAAGGTAAAAAGGTAGGCGTGGTAGGCGTTATGCAGCATTTTGAGTATTAGGTTGTTGTTCATTTTTGGTTTTTGGATTTGTTAGTCCTTATAAAGCAATTATCATCGTTATACTTTCTCTTGCGCAGCTGCGATTGGTTTTTGTTTAGTATGCAGAGTTTTGTTTGTTTTTCGGTTATGTTTAGTTTTTAGTATTATTATTAGGTTTTAGTATCAAGTGAAAAATATGATTTTTTTTACATTTCTTATGATACAGTTTCGTGGCGATGAAATGTAACTCGTAACTCGTATTAAATGCGCTTGTATGTAAATATATATGGATGTACGAATGCAGGTGAGGCATATACGAGGTGTGTTCAAAAAGTAAGGTGACTTTTCAAATTTCTCGGGCAACATATTTTCGATTATCGATTTTTTTGTTTTGTTATATTGGTACACTCTTCCCTAACATCTGTACCAAGTTTCAATGGAACATCCTCTTTTGTTTGGTTGTGAGAGGCGTAAAGTTACAAGTTGTTTTGCGAGCTCGGCGATTTTTTGCTATCGAAAAATATGGATCAAAGGATTTGCATCAAATTTTGTGTAAAAAATAAAATTAAGTGCTCTGAAACACTTGAAATGTTGACAGTGGCATACGGTGAAACTGTTCTGAGTAAAAAAAATGTGTACAAGTGGTACAAACTCTTCCAAGATGGCCGGGAAGATGCCAATGACCAGCCTCGCTCTGGACGCCCAAGCACGTCAACAACTGATGAAAACGTTCAAGCAGTGACGAAAATTGTTTTGGAAAATCGTCGAATCACTATCAGAGAAGTTGCTGAAGATGTCGGTATATCGCTTGGCTCGTGCCATGAAATTTTTTCAAACGTTTTGGGTATGAGTCGTGTGTCAGCGAAGTTTGTTCCGAAATTGCTGAATTTTGAGCAAAAGAACCGTCGCATGAGCATCGCTCAAGAGCTGTTGAATGACGTCAACGACGACCCAGATTTACTCAAAAGGGTCATAACTGGTGACGAATCATGGGTATATGGTTATGATATCGAAACCAAAGCCCAATCGTCCCAATGGAAGAGCCCAGGCGAGCCAAGACCGAAAAAAGCAAAAAATCGCCGAGCTCGCAAAACAACTTGTAACTTTACGCCTCTCACAACCAAACAAAAGAGGATGTTCCATTGAAACTTGGTACAGATGTTAGGGAAGAGTGTACCAATATAACAAAACAAAAAAATCGATAATCGAAAATATGTTGCCCGAGAAATTTGAAAAGTCACCTTACTTTTTGAACACACCTCGTAGATGTATACTTCGTATATGTTGGGTATGCTGGGAGGAGGACTTTGTTCTTGTATATGAAAGTAAATACAGTAAATACAGTAAATACAGAATATAATATGATCGATCGAGGTGTATATGATATATGCATGTATAAATATATGAATGCCATCTCTTCAAGTCGGTGAGCTTAATTTTGAATGTATGTTCAGCTTAAATGCGTTTTTCTTCTTGAGTATTTCTTTTTGCTTTTTTTTTTCAATATGATGAGCGATAAATAATCTGATGTATCGTAGTTAATGCTAGGAAGTAATTTCATTTCAATATTATTGCATTGATTTTTGTTTGAGTGTCTCCAAGTACTGTGATTCAATACTTTCTTAAATAGTTTGTTAATGTTAAATATTTGTTTATGTTTTGACGCGACTTTATTGCGGTTTATCATTAAGCATTTATTAACTTGTCGTAATTTGTCGTTTAAATATTTGTTCTAATCACGTTTTAGTATCGCTTCTTATACCCCCATCTGACTATTTTGATATTGCTGTCATACACAGAGTTTCAGTATATAGATCTATATCCTTTTACAAGTTACATACATTATTCAGTTATTATCCCTTACACTTTCGCGATTCAGTTGATTCCACAAATTGCTGGGCTGCGTCTACATTGTTGTTTAGCTTTAAGTGGATAAATGGACGGTTTTTTGTTTGGATTTCATTAGCTTTATGTCGATTTTCTTAAGTCTTTTAGTTTCAAATTATCGTATGTGTTGTAAAAAGAACTCCTGATTGGCTTGGATGTTAGAAAAAGAATCTATAAACTATGAAGACCACTCAAAAGTAAGGTAGGCAAGGATTCAATGTGATTGTTTGTGGGCTTTGCAATGCGAAACGTTTCTTACACTGACAATGCAATTTGTGCACTTTTGGACAGCTCGTTTGCCCTATTGGTTTTTTTCAATAATAAAAAATATACAAACTCCAATTGAATTTCTCTCCTAGGTTTTGTTTTTTTTTTCTCTCATTTTGTCTTTGATGCAACCCAGCAATTTGTTTAATCACTGATCCCATTCTATATATATTTCGTCCCAATCGATTTATACAAGTATTTTGGTTAAGAAAGCTTTATCTCATGCCCATGCAAAATATATATTGTTTCTGGTATCTAATGTCGTTATGTTAATGTGCTGTATATATATGCCCTATTAGCCATGTGCTGTGCCGTTGTTAGTTTTCCAGTGTCTTATGTACATTATACATGTTTTTTTTCTACTTCCCAATATCTGCTGAGTTTCCTACTACTGCACAACACTCTTTTGATCGTCATATATGCATGTCTGAAGTTTCGAAAGTTGACGCCTTTTTATTTAGTAAATATTATTTGTTATTTAGGAAAAATAGTTTGCGTTTTCCGTTCGGTTTCTTCGGTTGTTTTGTGGTTTTTATGGCTAGCAAAATAGTTATATCGATTTGGTTTGTTAGAAAAAACAGCAACGCTAAGTTAATGCAAAAGTTCTTTTGGTTTCCTTTTTAAATTTGGTTGTTACTTTAGTTAGTATTTAAAGATCAGTGCATTTGCGTAATATCCTTTATACACTCTATACAAATCGTCAGCGAATTTTCTTGAGTAGCAATCATTTGCGTAGCTAATTACGAGGCCTAGTCTAGGTAAAGAAAATGACTAGAATAACTGGTTCGACTTAGTCTAGTGCTAACTTGATTTATTCTCTCTTTTGTATTTCTTCTTTTTTTCTTTTTTTTTGTATATTTTTACACGGTGTTATTATTTGCAAGCTTTTTAGGCGCGGCGGCAACAATGTCCCTCAAAAGAACATATACAAAAAGTCACTCAAAAAATCAACAATAATAATTAGAAAATCAATTTTCGATAAAAGCTAGAGCAGCTAGCAAAGTTCTGTTCGTTCGATCGGCATTCAAAAGTTTCAGATTCGTTACATATGCTAGTTCATATAAATTCCACTATTATTGCTTTGGTATTTGATTTGGTATATTTTTTCGGTTTTTTTTTTTGGGGATTTTTCGTGTGTTTTCTTGTTTTGTGTTTTTACTTAGTTTGAAGATCTCTGGCTGATGGTACTCTAGAAAAAATAATGTTTGAGTGGCTGATTCGTTCTCTAGTAGTTGTTGGAATACAATATTTGGTTTTGTTTGGTGTTGACTAGTGCCATATTGAAACAAATGTCCTGGTGAAAAATGTAACTAAATCAGAGAAATAATTCTCATGCGATTGCACTACCGGACATCGTTGTCGCCTGACGCTCACTCTGCAGCTCGCGGTTGCGTTCGTGCTCAGCGGTCTCCGAGCTGAAAAGGAGTTGAAACCGTTAGTTATTAAAATTCTAGATTAATGAATATAATATAATATATTTTTGAGATTAAATAAGTCTAAATTTTATTTTGAATTCAAATTTCAAAATAACATTTACTATATCGATAACTTCTGATTATCGTCAAAGATCCATGACCTGGAACTTCAGTTCTTTTTAATTTAATTCTGTTTTTATTTAATATTAATATATTTTCAACTATTATAAACATGTTAGCTAGCATTTTAAACTTACAAAAGCTATTAGATTATACTTTAAGCAATTTAATATAAAATGTCTAAGAACTTTTTGCCAAAAACACATCAAATTTCCATACAATACTACCATAAAAATGTAATTTTAAAGGCAATTCTATCTTTACAATATTCTCTTTTACTATTTAATTAACTCTTCGGCTTTCCTAATTTCATACAGAACTTAAAAAATAAAAAATTTAGGTACATAATCCGGGGTACTGCTTACTTGGATCTCACTGCAATGGGGCTTCCGGGAATGTCAACTGGATTGGCATTATTGTTGTTGGTGGTCGAGGCTCGACGTCCATTGCCCGACTTATACGAGAATATGGAATCGTTCTCCATGTCGTTTTCAATCTATAATAAAATAAGTTTTAGTTAGTTACACTTCTTAAAAGGCAGTTACAAAGAACCCTTACCACCTGACGCTTGTACGACAATCTCTCACTGGACACCGAACCGCAGGAGGAGCTTTCTGAAACGGCCTGGGTTACGCTGGTCACCGTTGGCGGACTACTGGGACCCGGGAATCGCTTGGAGCACACCTGGGATTGGATGTGCTCGCAAATGCGTCGAAAACGCCGAATATTACCTATGTAAACAAGAAGTTCAATTTAGATGTTTACAGAGTTTTATAATTGCGTATTGCCAACCTGATAGCAGCGTAAATGTTAATGCAAACAGCATATCGGCTATGTCACCTTGTTTGCAAATGGCACTGATGTCAACCTAAAAATATTCACATACCATTAGCGTTTTGAATTCCGGGTGAAGGGCTGGGCAACTTACCTGGAACTTGACATGGCGCTGGAACATGACGGGTCCATTGCCATTCCGTTTGTACTCCACCCGAAACGAGGTGGGCGAGACCACACTATGAGATAGTTCAGCCATCTACAAAAATATAAATATATTATTGCAATAATATCCATTTGGTATAAAATTATTCATTTTAAATTATTAAGTCTACTAACGGATAAAAATGCGTGTATCAAATGCGCCTTGACCGTGGCAATGGGCTTGCCCTTGACCAAAATAGTGAAGGTTTCATCTTTCTCGGTTGTTATGAGATTACCAAACCAGGAGCGTTTCGTGAGCTCTGGCGAGGATTCGGGCGTCAAGTGTACTTCATCAGCAGAAACTAAAAGTAATAAGTTAAGTAGTATTAACATTTTACCTTTAAAATAGAAAATATTTTGTTAAACACCAACATACCTTGCATTTTTCTGCGATGGAATCGCGGACTTCCCAAGAAACTGTTTTTGATGTTTGTGAGCCGCGTTTTCCACAACTGACCTCCAGGTGTGTTGCAAGGTGATCCTGGCATGCCAGGACTGCTGTTGTTCATCATAGGCGAACCATTGGGATTAACAACTGTAAGGTAGAAAGTAAGGGTTAATTTAAGATCCTTAATACAGAGGAAAATGTGTATCATTTATCAAGCCAATATGTCTTCAAGTTAATTTACAATTTCACTTAGATCAAAATTTTAATAAAAAAAGACAAAATTAAACTAAAAAGGGTAACAATAATCGAATATTATCAATAGTATTAGTAAAATTGTAAACTAGCCATTTTATATCATTGTTTAGTACAGAAAAAAGAATACTAATCACATGTTTAATATGATCTTTTTTCTGCATTCAATTGCTATATATAGGGGATCTACGGGGCATGCACACACCACTATTCGAATCTGGATCGTGGAACATACTAATGGCAATTGTCGGACCTGAGTTGGCACGGTGGTGCACCGACGGCGAAGCGGATGAAGATCCGCTCGAATTGCCGCCCGGACTGCCTGGCGGTATGCCGCAATCCCCTCGCTCCCTCGGCGATCCTCCGCCACTGCGTTCCTGACGCAGTGAATCCCTTCGTTCGATCCTTGGCTCTCGCACTACGACCACATCGCCTTCGATACTCTTCTGGGAACTATGCGACGGTGTCCGACTAACAGATGAATGGTGTCGATCACGATCTCCGTATGTAGAATGTCTAGTACCCGCCGCTGGAGAAGATGGTCGGGATATGGCGTTCGCCTGCTGCTGGGCCGAACTCATCGGGGAGTTGCAACGCGTGGGACTGTGATATGAGGAGCTGCGCACCGAAGAGGAAACTGTTGTGGGCGAACGCCGTTGGTGGTTCCGTGTGCTGCTGTACGAGCGGAAGCTAAAAATTAAAAGTTTAAATTATTAAATATTTTTAATATTTTGAGGAAAACCTACTTAAAGGCCTGTCGTCTAGGCGTGAGCGGTGATCCCTCTGAAATCTGTCCATAGCTGGGTGCATTGGTGCCATTGATGCGACAAGTGTCCAGGCGTTTCCTCGGCGGATCCACTGCATCTAGTTCACTGCGGGATTTCTGTGCAATCTCATCGTCGTCCTCCAGCGCGGGTCGTCTTCGCTTTCTTTCCAGCAACAGGAAATATATAACCTTCTCTGTATTGTGACTATAGAAGAAGATACAAAATGAAGATACATTTTTTTAAATCTTAAAGGAATTTGGAACGCACCTTGAACTAAGCAGCTCCTGAATTAGCTTCTCCTTCTCCTTGAAACATCCCAGCGAACAAATGGCGTTCAACACATCCGGATCCACCGCAGTGGCTGTGGGAATAACATGTGTCTGCACCACCTCCATCATCGGTAGCTCCAGCTCCAGCTCTCCTTTCCCACCGGCTGTGACCCACGGATGGCGGTTGATTTCAGCCAGCTGGACGCGGTCGGAAATGAAGAAAAAAACGAGTTACAGGGAGGAAGTCCAAAGGGGGTGGGTAAATAGCTGGCAGCGTGGTGACCCAAAAACCAACAATCGCTTTGGGGGATGGCTGTGAAATGACTCACCACCCTACACTCAAAAAAATGTGTATAACAGGCAAACGGCAGTTTTTTGATTTTATTTTGTACTGAAACTACAAACTTTTACACATTTTTTTTAAGTGCACTCAGAAAACTAAAGAATTTTGGAAATTGTCATTGTTGGATCACCGCTGCATTTTGGGTATGAATGTGGATGACTCACCGTTAGCCGCCGGTCCGGATTCACCTCAATCATGCCGCGGAGCAGACTCTGGCAGTCCGGCGGCACAAAGTGTGGTATGTGAAAGACGCCGCGCTTGACTTTCTCCAACAGCTGGCGCAAGTTATCGTCGTCGAAGGGCAACGCACCCACCAGGAGGGCGTACAGGATGACCCCGCAGGACCAGACATCCGCCTTGCGGCCATCATACTTCTCGCCCTGGCAAGTAGAAAAGAAAATAAAGGCAAAATCAGAAATTGAGACATTTTCAAGGCAAACATTTTCTTCTTTTTGTATTCTTCATGTTTGTTCGTTTGTTTGTTTGGATTTTCCATTTATGTTTGCTTTCAGCTTGATTATTTCGGAATTCGTTTGGCCATTGTGCGTGGTCCGAAATCGTTAGGACCCATCTTTTCACCCATTTCTATCGAACTACATTTCTATCTGAATGCTTACTAATTTAAAAAGTTTTCTATTTAAAGAGTGATACGTGTAGAAGGAGGTGGGTGGGTCCGTTCAACTCGTTGACGTTCATTGACGTGTCCATCAAATGCCAAGTTTTTACCTCACTTCGACATTTCTGCTTTTCCTAGGGGACGGTTATTGACTTGGCAGGTAAATGGCACAATGACTCGCAGTTTGTTGGCCACTACAATGTGTAATTGTGGCACGACTGTAAATTACAGGTCATGTGGTTCAACTTTAAAGTCGAATGGGTAAATCTTTGAACACGAAGGGGGATACGTTTAATGATTACAAAACTATTTGCTTGGAAATGTATGTGTCCTGATTAAAAAAATGATTAAAGAACAAGGAAATGCCTTAGAAATGCAACTTCTGAATAGAATCTTTTACCCTTCTATAATAACATCATGTATTCGCTGTCATAAGCCCAGCCCCAGCCATTACTTATAGACATTTTCCAATTACAGCTACTCTCAAAACTCCAATTTGTAAGATTATAAGTCTGGTGTACGCTCGATTACCCCGGCCAAGTTTTGTTTTTGTCGGTAACCCTAAACCATCTATGGTGTTCTGTTCTGTGGCTTAGACCCCAACCACCTACCAAAGATTGATAAACGACCACTTAAGTGATTGAGTGAGTACATGGGCTTTCCACGCAATTTTCCCCTACAAATTGTCAAGGTTTTCCCTTACAGGGCAGATTTCGTTAGCAGACATCAATTAGGAGTTAGGGGGAGAACTACATATCCCCAAAGAGCTTTGACTGTTGAATATTTATAAAAGAAAAAATATATATACTAGCAGATAAGCTAAACATCACGTAGCAAGCCAGATTTATAACCCAGCCGGAGTATATATGATAAGACTGAACGGGGAAATATTTTAAAATTCCCCTTATGAATTTATTACGGGGTGCAGGAGCAATAAAGCTTCGCCAGAAGCTGCACCAGCCCAGCTCCTGCTTGAAGGATATGCTGCAGGATAATACACTAAGAAAAGTGTGCAAATCATTGGTATTTACTCTAGATGCCTTTTTGCAACTGCAATTTGCTTTTAATATTACAAAGCTAAGTAAATTTTATACAAAAACAAGACACTAGCTAGTTTAAGTTGGAAGTTAAAAGTATAGTTAATGTTTAAAGATTTTCTTAGTACAAAATGTTTCTCTTAAAACCCTAAAGAGCACTTCTGCCCTTGTCAGAAAATCGAACATTTTAAGAGGAAATCACAACTTTTTGTTGGGTGTAGAGAACGCAGGGCATCCCGAGATGGGAAATCATATGCGCACATGACGTGCATTTGCATAGAAGGGAGCCTGACGAAATTTGCATAGGAAAGCGACTCCAGGAAGCTGCCTCCTGCATCTCCACCTACTCCTAATCCTTCTCCACACCGATGCTGCATCTGAAAATGTGCTAAAAAGTTCGCCTTGATTGACGTTTATGCGTTTGCCGCACTTGTGCGAAGGGAGCGAAGGAACGAAGGGAGCCTGCCTAGAGAGCAATCTTTTGGCCATTTTTCACCAAGGACTTACCCGTATGACCTCCGGACACGCATAGTGTGGGCTGCCGCACGAAGTCTCCAGCATGCTGCCAGCTGGCTGAAGAGACGCCATACCAAAGTCCGCTATCTTAATGTTATTCTTCTCGTCCAGCAGCAGGTTCTCTGGCTTCAAGTCTCGATGGCTGAAACCACAAATAAATCCCATATTGATTGCAATTTAAAGACAGTTTTCAAGGAGCTGGAGACTTACCAAATCGAATGCGAATGGCAAAAATCCAGGGCAGAGATGATTTGCCTGAAGAACTTGCGCGCCTCCTTCGGCGTCAGCCGACCCTTCTTCACAAGGTAGTCGAAGAGTTCTCCACCGGATACATGCTCCAATATCAAATACAAATACTTCTTGTTCTCGTACACATCGCTCAGGCCAAGGACGTGCGGATGATCGATTAGTTTCATTATGGCGATTTCCCGCTCAACCTTTGGATATAGAGAGGAGTCAAGGGATTTCAATCGACTTATCGATACTGTTGCCAAGTTCCCCAAAAGTTCCCATACCAACACTCAGAGAAATAATCAATCAGAAAATGTAAGCAAATGAGAAAAAGAAAGAAAATGAGTAGGAAGAAGAAATTTGATTGACCCTATGTAAAGATAATAAAAAACCATTTTTATCTTCAAGTAACGAACGATTTTTTTAAGATTTTTAATCTATTTTTCCAACAAATTTATGGAATTTCCTTATAAAAAATCTTCATTTTCTTTACAATTTTCTAATTTTTCAATCCCATTTTCATGCTTTTTTGAAGAGTGCACTCTGCCTTAGAATGCATTCAAAGTGCTTGGTGCTTGGTCGACCATAATAGCCCTTTGTTGTCCTCCGAATGGCGTCCAATTTCTCATTGCGTGTCCCGACCAGCTGGCCCTACCACATGGACACCACACGCAATCATCAGCGGTTCTTTATCCTCATTTGCACCCCTCGACCTCAACCTCACCTTGCATTTCGATTGTCCTACATGTCTGAGCTTATGACACCCCCAAAAAACTCCAACCCCCTACAAAACCTAAGGGCAGTCAATTCTGTTTTACTCTGTTGTCGCACGCACTAATTTGTCCCATGTCCTTTCAATGTCCTACAGAAAAAAAAAGTGCACCACATTTTCGTTAGATAGATAGAAAACTAGTTTTGGGGGTGGAGAGTTAGGGGGTAACCTTTTCTATGGTTTTATTATGACAGAACAGAAAAGATAAATCGTTGAGCTTTACTGTGACTTTCATTGGAGCCGAGTGAATGGAGCCAACTCTGGGAATGAATGAAATCTATTTAGAGTGTTTGCCACGTATTATAATAGACGTGGTGCGTTCTCGTTTATGGCAGAAAATCGATTACAGAATAAATGAATATTTAACACAGATAATTTGTGGTCTATTTGTAAGGTAATTGTCATTTCTGTACGGGATAATGTTAAATGTCAAAGATACAAATGATGATTTTTTAAAGGATTGTAAGTTGAATTAAAAATGATTCTTGAGTGATTAAAGAACTTAGAGCTATCTATCAAAATTGTCTTTAAAATTTAAGTCACAAAATATCCTTTTGACTTTCCCTGACTTTGGCACACAAAATTTACAAAGCCGAGGAAAACCACAAGCTTTAAAAATCCCCCAAAATCATTTCCCCCGCGTGCTTCAAGACATGTAGTATAAGTCCAAAAGTCCAAATGGCTGTAAGTTTGACTGCAATGCTCCACCCTTGGATCTATCCTTGCGACAGCCCCAAAAACCACGTTACACTTTCAAGGAGCCGGGCAATAAAACAACGAACCACAAAACAAATTTTATTGTCACAGTTTTTTATGACTCGTACGACAGGGGAAGACAAACAACAAATAAGAATCAAGAAATAAGAAATAAGAAAGGAATAGGAAAAGAAAGCGAAAAACAAAATCATAAACAGCGGGAAAAAACAATAAAAACCAAAGGCAAGGAAAACTTTCCATTGGGCCACGACGACCTTCGACCCCAAGCAACTACTTACCTTCATTAGCACCGATTCGCTGAGTTTCTCGCGATTGATTATTTTAATCGCAACCTTCTTGCCAATCACACAATGCACGCCCAACTTGACGAGTCCTGCAAAAAGGATACTTGGAAAATCGTAATTGCCATAGATATTGTGAGGAATGTTAGATATTTCCAAGTGGCTTTTGTTTTCTGATAAGAAAAGTAGTTTTCAAGGCTACTTAAGTAGCCATTTTAAAAATTTATTAATTTTTTGGACATAAGATAGCTAATAGTCCATCACTATCATGTTAAGTACATGACATTACAGAAATCCCCAACTTAAATTTATGGGCACACTATTTTGGTCTCCTTGATCTTGGCTTGTAAATTGTGTGAAAGAAATGTGAAAAAATTTTATTTCGTGATTGAAAAAGGTTTCTAGGAGATGATTTCTGCTAAAATGCTATTAAAATATACATTTTTTAATTATTAAAGAAATAATTATTTTCAAACATTTAATAGAGTTAAGCTATATTTAGTATTAAGCTTACATTACAGGAAGTTAATGACATTCTTCAGTTTAAAAATAAGTTCAAATCACATCAGCCAGTAAAGCAATAACACTAACTAAGATCCGACTACAAAAAGCACTTTACCTAATAAATGCAATGATCATTTTAGTCGCTGCAACTTGCACCCACTTAGTAAACGCCCGTAAGAGTTTTACCAGCACTTACCCGTTTGACCCTTGCCGAGGGTTTTCTCCAGGCGATAGGGGCCCACAAATTGGCAATTCTCCGCCGTGACATTGTTCTCCTTCTGCATTTTGTTGGCCGTCGCTTCGTCCTGCGTCCTTGGTCCCCGCCGACAGGGGGGGTTCCTTCGTGTTGGCTGTTAGCTGTTTGCGGCTGGCAGCGTCAGCTGGCTTCTGGCCATGTACTCCTCCTGGAAGCCTGGCCTCCTTGCCTCCTTGGCTCCTTGGCTCTCTTCTACCAACTTGGGTGTCGCATAGCGTCAAGTGAGGTATGGGTGTATATGTGTGTGTAGACCTTTAATTACTTTTGTTCGACAAAAGTTTTATTGCGATTGTTAAGAATTCCTTTTTGCAGTTTGCAAATGATGCAGCATTTAATTAACTTTTGCCTATAATTGTACTGGTCGTTTGGTTGTTCTTGTTGTTGTTGTTGATGTGGCTGCTATTTCCACATGACTTCATCACAAAATACTAGCTGTAAAATAGACAGAGACAGAGAGAGAGAGAGAGAGAAAGAGAACAGTTAGTAAAAGAGACAAAAGCAACGGAGTAAGGTCAATGTGATTACCAATGAATATTTATGTCCCCTTTTGGCCGAGCTGAATTTTTAATTGAAATAAATGGAAACTAACTATATTACCGGATAACTATTTTTGTGTGTGTATATGTTAGTCAGGTGTTCTAATTAAAACCCCTCCAGCTGTGTGTGTTTTGCTTCTCCCTTTATCCATTTCATGAGTAAATTTATGACCCCGACAGCATCCTGCCAACAGGAAAGCCAAGGCAACACACACACACACACACACACACACACTTACACTTAAGCAGGTGAGAAGGTTATATATATTTTAGTGTGTGTTGGTTCATTTAAATTCGTAATAATCTTGACTCTTTCAAGTGTTTCGTTTTCAATTATTTGGCCATTAAGTTTAATTAAAGGTACAGTAAAGTATGTTCTTAGTGGATTTCCTTGTTCTTAATTATAAGAGACTGATAAGAGAGGTATCTTTTGATTACATAGGGTATACCTATTATAAATCTAAGCAAATTGGTTATGTAAATATTCATTTAAACTGATTTAGATTAGATTTGACATAAGCAATGTTACAATACGAACAATAAATACCCAAAACTTCTAAAGAATATTATAATTTTTTACTTTTACATATACAAATATCTGTATTTTGATTTATTTATGATTATATTAAGTTAACCTTTCATATTTATCTCTTAAATAAACTTTAAGTAACTAGAAAATTAAGAAAAACTTCTTCAAAAACGTTCTCACTCGATAATCTATTCAATCAAAGTCTCTTCGACTTTTCCGTTTTATCAGTTCCACCATTTAACTCCTTAGCCTTAAGTAATTAAACACAACATTGTAATACATTTTTAAGTTCAAGATGGTCGGGCAAAAAGAAAGAAATAATAGCTGTGAATTTTCCTCGGAGCTCCTTTGGCCATTCTCGCTTTTCAATCTGCTGTTGGCCGTGAAGTGAGACGAAATCGTTCAAAAATTTCATTAGGAGAGCACTAAAAACACCCATAGAAGCAACAACAATTGCTCAACGGGGCGTGTTGGCATAAAAAGCGAGCATAAAACTTGGCCAACTACCACTGGCTGAGAGATGGGCAAGAACAAAGACCGGCCAAGGATAGAAAAGCCAGGGAATCTGGCTGAGTGACTGGACGAGAGGGGCAGGTAAGCAATATATTTAGATGCTGACGCAGTCGCTGATAATTCTCCGAGATGACGTTGAAGTGCCAAGTCCCTGGGACGGATTTGAATGAGACGCCAAACTGACAGGACGATGGATGCTCACGCGCTCAAATTGAAAAATAAGTGCACATCAAAATGAAACAGTGCGCAAATGTGGGTACACAGAGAGAAATGTCATAATCTTAAGTAACATAACCCAGATTAAACGATCTACATTATTAAACAGAGCACACATTTTTACAAAATATTTAGAAAATATAAAAGTAAAGATATACATGATATAAAAGAAAAACAAATTCCTTTTTTCTCTGTGTACTTCCGAGGGCGTGAAAGCGTATGGTTGTGAAGGGTGCGGTTCTGGTTTGGCCCAAAACATTAGGTTAAACGGGCAGCAGATGGCGGCTTTACGCAGGAAGCTCAGGAAGGAAGGATGCTAACAAGCCTACCGCCAAGCCCTTTCCCTTCCGCCTGAAAACAATAAGAAAACTTTCACTGGGGCCAACACCATCACGCCCCCCTTATACTCTTACACACGCACACACCCCGACATCCTAACATCCTTTTGCGCCCAGGACCTGCCAGCCCACCTCCCTTCAAACCACTGTTCTGCTAACCTAATTTGAAAAATGCGCTAAAAGTTGAAAACTGACATTGTTTGGCAAGTGCCAACAGAAAAAAAGCGCCAAGATAGTACCGAACTGATGCCACGAATGGCAGATACTCCGCATAACTTAAATTTCTCATTTGCATGTATTCTTGAGATTTTATCTCTGTGAAAGGAATTCCATTCTGGGTGATATTGGTTTATTTATTGGTCATTATCTTTGGTTAAAAAATAGTAAATATTCTTATAAAAGCTCAAGAAAAGTACCTGTTCTTGGAGAATGTATTTTATTTATATTTAAAATATTGTGTTGAATTTTAAAATATACAAAATGAAATTTTGTTCTTAAATTTGTAAATGTATCAAAAAAGTATGCTATGTTTTTTTAAGAATACTTTTTCATCCACAATTTCCCTGTAAATAATGCTAAAATATGTAGACCGTCTCATCAAAGGCAACTTAATGAAATAAACCAAGTGCTCGCCCATATAGGCACAGCAAGTGTAAAAAGAGGCGTGGCCGCCAACTGCCATAAACAAGTCATCGTCATGGGTCGCCTTTTTTTCAGTATTTTTTTTCTGTAGCATTCGCACTTAAGGCTGCGGCAAAATGTCTACACAGGCTATATATACTTATATATATATACAATTTTATATATATATATATATAAACATCTTTGGATCTGAATAAGTTTGGGTTTGTGTGCGTGCAATAAAAATCATAAGCAAAACGTTTAGAGCATTTGGCGTTGATTTCGGCCTAGCCACGGGAAATTTATGCTTTTAGGTCGTGGCAACTAGGAAAATGTCACCAGGCAAAAGAAAAGCAGATGAAGAAGAGGAAGCAGACGAGAATTGTGGCAGGAAGATGAAAATGGAGACGACCGTTATTGATGTAGGCCCAAAAGGACCTGGGGATGTGACCAACTTTTATGGCTCCATGACCCAATAAAATGCCATCAACCATAATTAAGCGATTTGCAAACAATGCACAGCCATATAAAGCCAATGAATAGTGCCCAGATAGATCGTAGCTGGAGATGGGTTTTGATTTCGCATGAATTACTTTATGGAAAACATAAGGAAAATAAGCACAATGTGTGTGTGACAATCTTTAGAAGTTCGATTAATTAGGAAAATGATTCAAGAACAAGTTCGCTGAGTCATATTGGTAAGTACAGGATATTTATGGTAATGGTATGTATAAATATGAGATATTGATTCCTGCCAATTTGATGTAGCCTAAAAGTATGCTTTCTTCTTTCTGGTTTTCTTTTCAAAAGGCTCTGAGATTTTACCCACTAATTTTTTAGTTTAGTAAAATAAACAATAATCACATTTTTAACTTTAAACTCAGCCATGAATAGAAAGTTGGAAATATCTTATAGTTGCCCTCAAAGGACACCTAAAGTTTTGTAATTAAAAATCCATTATCATCGGGACCCACAATTAACATATGAATTAACAATCAAAGTTATTCCTGCCACCAATTTAACTTTGCTACTCATATTTCATGGCACCAAAATCCATCCCCCAATTACCAATTAAGAATCCCCCCAACCTTGGACTTTTCTAGTTTTCCTCGAATTTACATCTTATTAATGTTCACTCAACGATTTCAAAAACAATTAACAAGCCGAGTCTGAAAACGCAGCTGTCAGATGCTGCCCGAAACTCCACTGTTCATTAGCCTTCTCGCACAATTAACCCCGAGGGCCCAGAAGCACCGGAAAATAAGGAATTTTCCATAGTCAAGTGTGTTATCTAACCGGCAGGCAAGCTAACAAAAAATGAGCAGAAATGACTTTGATTTCTCAGGCGAGCCCCATCCACATTTGCATACATCTGGCTGAGACCTCGGGGGCTAAATTGCCTTTTCAGAAGAGCCAAGGAAAGACCCCAAAAGTTTAACCAAGTTTCTCCTTTTGGGGGGGTGTGAGGTGAATGGTGATTCCATCTAAAAGCCAGAAAAACTCAATTTCAAAAACGACAGTCAATAAACGCACCCAGCTCACACGCACCAAAACGAGGACTGAAAATTCAGTGAAGCAGTATGCCAGCCAACGTGGCGTATGAGTGTTTTGGCTTGCCCTCAACCCGGCGTTTTTAAAGTGCAATCAATAAAATGCTTTTGAGTTGTGAAAATTGTGCGTAAGTGGCTTTTCATCAGGACCTCCTGACAAGGGTTTTCCAGGGAGAGAGTTAAAGGGAAATTCAGAAACAGAAACAGCAACAGAAACCAAAAGGGGAACAGCAAAAGGGCGTTGCTGCCAAGAGAATAACGAGAACTTGGGCACAGTGGGTGTGAGGGCGGAAGAAAATGGGAAAAGCTTTCCTCCACACATCTCAAATATTCTCATCAAATATTTGCACATTTTTATGAATTTTTTAAGGTATTTTATCTTTGGGCTTCTGATCTTTAATAGCTTTAATATTATTAGCATTGTTTAAAAGGTTTTTGTTTAAACTGAAATACTTTTTAAAAATATTAAACTTAATTTGTGAGTTAAGAAATTTAACATATATTAATTAGATTAAGTTCCACAGCCAAGTTGGATAGTTTAACGTTTTTATTGTACTCCTAAATGTCTCTTATGAAAGCAGTTTGGTTAAAGTTTAGAAAACACTTTCCAAGTTTTATTGCTCTTAGCATATAGTTTTCTCTCTAAAATATGATAAGTTTTATGCTTAAACTTAACCACTGTGCCACTTTAAGCCGTTTCAGTGATGGCTCCTCAACTCGATTTCTCGTTGAATGCCTGTTATTGCATCCGTTTCTGTTTTTGATGTTGCCCCGACACCATGTTTAATCAGAATCAGACACCGTCGGCCCCCTAGGAGCGTTGGAGCGGTGGCAGGAAATGGGGCAACAGGATTGCAACAGCTGGCTTCACGTTCATCAACTAATTGCAATTATGTGGAAAATTAAAATCAATATTTAACTAACTTCCGCCCCTCGGATGCCTACCCTCAACATGCTGTGCTGTTGTCATTTGCCATTTAACATTGATTTCCATTCGATGTCAGCGCTAGCTTCTGTTGTGTCAGCAACATCAGCAGCATCAGCAGCAGCATACAATTTTTTGTTTTACTGATTGCTTTTGGATTGAATTCTTTAAATATTTGACTTTCATGTTGCTTGTCCAGTCAAA